CTGGACCTGTTACTCACCCTTACCGCTGATATTGACGAATTGCATATACTAAAACGACCGGATCTCGGCTGATTTCAGTAAAAGTTCAGTCCATGTTGCGGCCCAACAGTTGAGCACTCCCGTCCCCAGTAGTGGAACCTTTCGGGCCACTTGCCGGCGCCTCTTCACTGGAGAGGGTAGCCGGCTGAAGTGCTCTGGTGGTCGTTGGCATCTCATTACAGCTGCATTGAATGTTGAGTCCTTGGCACAGGCCGCCATTAGGACCATAATATCTGCAGTAACTATTTGAATCACCAGACATCACTTGACAATAGTAATCGCCGTTCATGCAGTTGACAGTGGTATTCCTTGGCTCCGTCGTGGTGGTTGTAGTGATGAGGCTCCGAGTAGTAGTGCGCAACGCAGCCTGCGTAGTCACTTGAGCTCCTGCAGTAGCTGAGACACAACAAATGATCAGAAACATCAGCGTAGAACGAAATACTTTCTAAACGATCACAATCCTTCACTTGAATATTACGTCTAAGAGTGGTGGTTGTCGAGTCGGAGCTGCATCCTGACAGATCCGACGCCATTAGAGCACATAGAACAGGCAACGCTACGACCTTAAACATTCAATGAGGATAAGAAGGCGAGAGCTGCTAAGAACACAGTCTGAACACGTCGGCGAAAAGATCACCAAGCGAACAGTTATCACTAATATATTCGGAAATGCATCATCACAAAGGCTCAACGATGGAGCTAGGTGGTAGGCTGCGTGCTAAACGCTAGCTAAAATGCCATGCCTGTAATATCTAGCTGCTGCTCGCGCTTTCGACGTCGTCGGGTGATACGGGCTGGAGTCGAGACGTTCGACTTCGCACTGCGAAGTTGGCAGTTTCGCCATGAGATGCACTCAAAGCATGAATCGAGTTCGGCTGTGGGCTCATATGTAAATCTGCTCAGCATGCAACGATTGCTCCAAGCCAACCACTGGTCGTGAAGACCCGAGTAAGTAACCCAGCAAATGTACTGCGCGCACTGTCTGCCCTCTAAACCTAGCTTCGGACTCAAATAGCAGTGGTACGCAGCGGTGTTGATTCTGGGTCCTCTCTTGAGGTTAGTATTTAAAGTGTTTAGAGTGGTCATGGAAGGATCCTGTTTTGATCAGCAGTAATAGGGTCGTACAACAGGACCTCGCTGAGCAGGCCTCTCTATTAGAATTGGAGGAGTATGGTGCGTTCGATAGGTGCATGAAAATTAGTGGAGGAAATCCTCTAGGAGAGCTGCTACGTAACCGTCATCATAAATTTTGATCGTATTTGCTTTCCTCGTGTGAAAGAGCGGAAAGAAACACCGAAATCGTCGAGGCGGGAAGATGTTCGTCGAATCAGATGGGATGACAGTACTCGATAACACAAGGCATATTCCGATGGTGGAAAAGCAGCTTTTAACCATATCAGTTCAATCGGTCATCATAGCATTGTTACACGTCCACATCAGCCAGCCCCACCACCATCATCACTAAAACACAGTAATTCAGTGAGCAGAGTGGAAGACGACAACCTACCTATTCCGTTTCGATCCAAGTAACTTTGCACGAAGTTGTCTCTGCCGTGCCTCCACAGAGGGTGACGATGAGCCCTACAAGAACCAATCTATGAGTATATCTCCCAAGACAGTAGTAGTAATACCTCCTTTCTGGGCGACCCAGAGGTCTTCCTCTTAGGAGATCTCCCATCGTCAGCTTTCTTATCTTCAACCTGCAGTTCTTCTTCCTTCTTATTCTCCTCACCTGCCCTTCTCCGCTTACGTGATTCCTCCCCATCCACCTCGTCTATAGTACTGCTACGGGTCTTCCGTTTATCAACACTCACTTTGATTCGGGATGCCTTCGGCGTGTCGTCAGTGTCTGCCTCTCGGCCTTCACTCAGATCCCTCACTCCCTGCTCATTGTTGCTTACCGCAGCAGCAGCAGCCGCTTCCACTGGCGCCTCCTCCTCCTCGTCCTTTCCCTCAGCCGTCTTCCCTCCCGATAAGAGTTTCGACTTCAACATAGCAAGGCGTTCAGCACTACTCTTAGCGTGTACGACCTGCCCCTTATGATCTAATTTCACTGTCAATACCGGTGTCGTTGTTATCCTGGCCCGCCTCCACCGATTGTCCAAGCCCCTATACCATCCCTTGGCCTCATTAGGGACAACATGCTCCCTCGCAGGTAGATGCTCAACGTTATCACCGCCATCAGACCGCGGGCTCTCTCCTTCGACATACTCATCGTCGCTCCACCCATACATCTTATTCGCCTTCACAGGTTTCGGACGAGGCCGAGGGGCGACCTGTCTCGTCGATGGGCTTCTATTCCAAGAACTGCTCATGCCCTTGCCCAAAGGCCTCCTTTCATAATCACCACCACCACCTCCACGATACCCACGCAGCTGACGATCACGGAATGTGGCGCCTTGACTTGGTAGCTCCCTGGCACGTTCCTTCTCCCTTTCCTCTTCTCGTTCCTTCACCCTCCTTAGTCTACTTTCCGATCTCCTCCTTCGCTCAATCGACCATTCTCGAGCTGCCTTTAGAAACCTCTCTCGAGACTCACTCGACCGTTCAATGCGTCGGTTCCTAGACCCAGATCGACCCCTACCCCTGGCCGTGCGCGACCTCCTACGAGATCTAGACCTCCTATAGCGACTAGATTCAACGTCATCACGTCTTCGCCACGACGATGGTGGGGGAGACCTCCTCCTGCGAGGCCTCGAGTGATACCTCCGTCTGCTGCTGCTGCCCGACCGCCTACTACGACGAGATCGACTCCGCGGACGACGACGCCGGCTACGATCCTCGCGAGACCTAGATCTGGATCGTCGCTTCCTATCCCAACTCCTAGAGCTCCTCCTCGATTCAGAACGGCTACTGCTACTGCTAGCATCAGAATCCGACTCAGCGTCATCAGCCTGTTGCTCCTGTGCTGCGTCCTCCAGTCGTTTACACTCCTCAGGGTTCGATAAGCACCACTGGTAGTAGTCGTGGCCAAGCCCTTTGAAAAGGAAGGTATACTGCTTATCTCCACGGCGTTTAGTTTGTAACCATTCAGCGAACTGTGCTCCATTACGTATAACTCCCAGCGCTGTATTACGAATGAGCTGAACATGATTAGGCTCGAGACCATCCGCGGGTGGAGGCTCCTGCTCCTCATGTTCCTGCTCTTCTAAAGCGGCCGCCAGAGTCGCTGCTGCTGCTGCTGCCTGTGTGGCGTCGGAGCTGGAGGATGTCATTATGTCTTGTCTCAGCACCGACACTCTTAGAGACGAGTACGAGCCGAAAACCAAATAATAACAGACCAGGGATAATCAAACACGTGCAACGAGCCGTCCCCCGATCACACCC